CCATTGCCTTTGTGGCCAGCTACTCATACCTGGGCGTTCTCGACAAGGGCCTGCTGGAGAGTGGCATTGAGGAAGCAGCCTCGAGCCGCGTCGACTTCACCACTCTTCTCGCCGGCAGCAAGAGACTCAGAATCGGAGAGGAGACGTCATGGCAGTGGGAGGCTGAAGAGCCCAAGACTGCCATCTACAAGGACAAGGTGAGCATTTCTGCGATTCACAAAAGACCCTGCTAACGTCACAGACCGCCCAGGAACTCGCCCTCGTCACCCTCGTCTTCCCCGAATCAAGCATCATCAACTCGGCTCCCTCGCAACAATCCGTCCCCAGCAATGTCTCTGCCGAGCTCCTCCCCAGCTCGTCCAGCTCCTTCTCCACCTTCTCCCACGACACCTCGCTCGCATTCTCAATCCCCTACACCGAAGCCGCCGACTTTCTCCAGGCCATGCAGGAGATTTCCGCGCCCGAAGATGCGGCTCAGTCGAAGGGCTCAGAGCAGGAAGGCACACGCGAGGAGAAAAAGTGGATGATGAAGGCTTCCAAGAACGGCAGTGCCCCTGGTGGCGTGCGCAATTGGATCCTGGACTCTTGGACGTCTTTCGTCGATCTTCTCAAGGTATGTTGTTTGGCGGTTGGAAATGACTTGGGCTAATTTTGATAGAACGCGGATACCGGTGATATCGTCATCATGGCCCTGGGATATCTCGCCATGCACCTGACCTTCGTCTCCCTCTTCCTCGCCATGAGGCGTCTAGGATCCAACTTCTGGCTGGCTACCGCAGTTCTTCTGCAGTCTGCCTTCGCTTTCCTCTTCGGTCTCGCTGTTACAACCTACCTCGGCGTTCCCATTAACCTCATCCTGCTCTCCGAAGGACTCCCATTCCTGGTCGTCATTATCGGTTTCGAGAAGCCCATCGTTCTCACCAAGGCCGTGCTCTCTGCGTCCCTGGATGGCCGACGGGCCGCTGAAGAGAAGCGGGGCGCGCCTTCGACTATCCAGTCAGCTGTACAGCTCGCCATCAAGAGGACTGGTTTCGAGATTGTCCGCGACTACTTCTTCGAGATCCTGATCCTGGTTGCCGGCGCCATGTCTGGAATCCAGGGCGGTCTGCGACAATTCTGCTTCCTCGGCGCATGGATCCTCTTCTTCGACGCTCTCATGCTCTTGACTTTCTACACCGCAATTCTTACCATCAAGCTTGAGATTAACCGCATCAAGCGCCATGTGGCTCTCCGCAGGGCTCTCGAGGACGACGGTGTCGATGGCAAGGTCGCCGAGAACGTCGCCCGCAACAACGACTGGCCCAACGCGCGCGATGTCCAAGTCGCCAACCACACGACGACTGTCTTTGGAAAGAAGATTACAGTCCCCAAGTTCAAGATTCTGATGGTCGCCGGATTCATCTTGGTCAACGTTCTCAACGTCGTCACCCTCCGTTTCGGTCTTGCTCCCAGCAAGGTCGCTCACGTTGCTGGCGTTGGTGCCACTCCCCCGCTGGATCCCTTCAAGGTTGCTGGAAGCGGACTTGACCACATCTACGAGCAGGCTAAGGCCACCGCCACTTCTACCATTGTCACCATCCTCATGCCCATCAAGTACGAGCTTGAGTTCCCGTCTATCCACTACGCTGAGCCGTCCATCACCGACAACGAGTTTGCTTTCGGAAACAATATCAGCACGCACATTGTCGACGGAGTACTGAAGAGCTTGGAGGACCCCTTCCTCAGTAAATGGATCGTCCTCGCGCTTGTCATGAGCGTGGTTCTGAACGGCTACCTCTTCAACGCCGCCCGCTGGACCATCAAGGAACCCCACCAGCCGCTTGCCCCAGCTGCTCCCTCCGAAGTTCAAGATGGAGCCCCCACTGTGCCTGGAACCCCCCGCGTGCCTTCAATGCACATGCCCACGCCGCCTCGTACACCCGGCCCTGAGGACACTCGCTTGCAGCCACTGACCCACCTCGTACCGCAGACGCCAGTGCTCCCTATCGGTCCTTCGGAAGAACAGCAAAGACAGCCAAACCGTGCTGCTGAGATTCTCGAATTGATGATCAAGGACAAGCAAGCCCCTAAGATGACTGACGAGGAGCTCATCGAGATGTCGCTCAAAGGAAAGATCCCTGGTTACGCTTTGGAGAAGACACTCGGTGACAAGACCCGCGCTGTCAAGATCCGCCGTGGTCTCGTCTCACGCACCCACGCTACTCGCGAGACGTCCACTCTCCTCGAACGCTCTCTCCTCCCGTACAAGGACTACAACTACGATCTTGTCCATGGCGCATGCTGTGAGAACGTCGTCGGTTATCTGCCCCTCCCCCTCGGTGTCGCTGGACCTATCCTCGTTGATGGCCAAAACTACTTCCTTCCCATGGCGACCACCGAGGGTGTGCTCGTAGCTTCAACTTCCCGAGGTGCCAAGGCTATCAACGCTGGCGGTGGTGCTGTTACTGTTGTTACTGGCGACGGCATGACCCGCGGACCTTGTATCGGATTCGACAGCCTAACACGCGCTGGTGCGGCGAAGATCTGGCTCGACTCGGAAGAAGGTCAAAGAACGATGAAGGACGCATTCAACTCGACTTCCCGCTTCGCCAGACTCCAGTCTATGAAGTCTGCGATTGCAGGCACCAACATCTACGTCCGATTCAGGGCCACGACCGGTGACGCCATGGGCATGAACATGATCTCCAAGGGTGTTGAACACGCTCTTACTGTCATGGCAACCGACTGCGGCTTTGAAGACATGCGCGTAGTCACTGTGTCGGGGAACTACTGCACAGACAAGAAGTCCGCTGCCATCAACTGGATCGACGGTCGTGGCAAGGGTGTCGTCGCCGAAGCCATGATCCCCGGGTCTGTCGTCAAGTCGGTGCTGAAGTGCGAGGTTGAGGATCTCGTGCAGATGAACATTTCTAAGAACTTTATCGGATCGGCCATGGCGGGTGCTATGGGTGGTTTCAACGCTCACGCGGCGAACATCGTCGCTGCCATCTTCCTGGCTACCGGACAGGATCCCGCGCAGGTCGTTGAGAGTGCTAACTGCATCACCATCATGCACAAGTAAGTCATCATTCGTAATTCACCAAGACTTTAAGCTAACAACGTCTAGTGTCAACGGCAACCTCCAAATCTCCGTCTCGATGCCCTCAATCGAAGTCGGCACCATCGGCGGCGGAACCATCCTCGAGCCCCAATCCGCTATGCTCGACCTCCTCGGCGTACGCGGCGCTCACCCAACATCGCCCGGTGACAACGCCAGGCAACTCGCTCGTGTCATCGCCGCTGGTGTGCTGGCGGGTGAGTTGTCGCTCAACAGCGCCCTGTGTGCGGGTCATCTCGTCAAGGCGCACATGGCACACAACAGGAGTAACGTTCCTTCTCGCGCGCCTACACCTGCGCCTGCGACACCAGTCACGGGTGCTCAGACTCCTGTTACCGGTGGCGGACCGCTTTCTGCGCTGAGCTCTGCGGGTATCGCGCCGAGGCGGTAGATATTCTTGGAGAGTGTGATGGTTTCGGCGTAATAAGGATAGGACTGTAGATATGTTGGGAAGATACCTGGATTTGTTTTGCGCATGTATCAGGGTAATCTGGATTGGAATGGTTTGGTATTGAGATGAAGACGGGACGAAGATTTATACATACGCGTTCGCAAGAATATGGGTCTTCTGTTGTTATGTCGGATTAGGAGAGGGGAGAAGTATATACATCACTAATGCATTGTTAATAACTTTATCGGCGTGGTTCCTCCCGTCTTGCCACAGTCGATCACGAGACCCTCTGGCGATAGAGCAGGCACCACTCGTTGTACAGATCAGCTCGAAGCTGGCCGGTATGAGCGCCTTGCCGCAAGCGCATGCAATCGCATACCCTCTATTGGACTTTACTGTACTATACTTATCTAATCTTGGTCCGCTTTCCGGCCCCCAGGCTTGGCAGTGTACGGATATGTAGAAGCGAAGCGATGTGGCTTACAAGATCCAATCAGAAGAAGCGCCACACTCGAATCTGTCCCGTGGTATACAATAAGCAATAACTCTTGCAGCTACAAAAGATATCTCTGCGGGGCTGGTCATCCGTCATCTCTCTGTCGACTGCGCTGAAACTTATCGCTCAACACAATGGAAGACCAAAAAGACATCGATGCCGCTGAAGTGACAGCACTAAGGCCAGGAAAGACTACTATCACAATGAAGAGACGGCACCGGGTACTCGATAGTCTGAGATCTGCTGATTGGTGGGTGTGGGAAATCCTCAGCCTTGTTGTGTCCGCGGGCGCGCTTGTTACCATTGTGCTTCTCCTATCGTCGCTGAACGACAAACCGCAACCCTCATGGGCATCTGCCGGCACACATTGCTTCTCTGAGCCTGGAATCGCCGATATCGTATGTCGTCAAAGTGGCATCTCGGTCAACTCGGTTGTGTCTTGGCTGGGTACGCTTGCTCGACTTTGTCTTCTTGTTCCGCTTGCAAACTGCCTTGGTCAGCTGAAATGGACGTGGTTCGGCAGCAGAGAGCGGTCTCTGGCTGATCTAGACGCTTTCGATGCGGCATCAAGGGGTCTGACTGGCAGTTTGCAGCTGATCTGGAAGTTGAAGGCTCGGTTCGTCAACGACCCCCTCGTCGACTATGCGCTGATGATTCCACAGATATATCGCTACAATCGGAGCCACTGGCATCATACTAAGCGTTGCTTTTGATCCCTTTGTACAGAACTTAGTCGGGTATTATACGAAGGACGTAGTCGACCCCTCAGGACTAGCCTTTGTCGCCAACACTTCCGTGTACCACAGCGAAGGCTACGTAACCAACAACTGTGAGTGCCTGCTACAACAAAGGGTGATCTAGTACTAAATAAATATGCAGATCGCTACGTGAATGCAGCATTGAGATCAAACGTGCTCAATGCTCTTCATAGCTCTCATTCGCGTCATACATGGGCGGAACCACGTCACGTCTGTAGCACAGGACATTGCACATGGCGGCCGACTGCCAGCATCGGCATGTGTACAACCTGCGAGGACATTACCCCCATAGTAAGCCGGACTTGCGAGGAGACTAGCAAATATACGACACCTAGTCATTATTGCAACTTGTCGCTGCCAGGCTTAGACGACGTCCTTTCGTACGATTACGATTTGGATTATCTAAACGGTCAAATTTTCATGATCAGAGCTATCAGTGGTGGTAAATCAGATCTAACACCTCGCAGCATAGTATCTGTATATCTTGACGTTGACGTCCAAGACACGATGGACGGGAAGGATTGGACCAGCGGCGAACCGGAATATGTGGCGTCTAATTGCACGCTAAAGCCATGCATCAAAAGCATCAAGTCTGACTACGACCAGTCAGCTGAACCGCCCTATCGCGAGGAGGTTCTCAAGACATGGTTCCAGGATCCCAGCCCAGATGTTTGGCGCCCAGCGGGCGAACTCCAGGCGCCTGTCGAGCCCGAGTATGGGGTAAATGGCGAAAACTTCACAATTGAAAGTACGACAGCTCAGAGTATTTTCTACTTCATCGACACATTTAGCGGTGTCTACGAAAAGCTCAGCGGACAAGACAACAACTTCGCAAACGATTACGTTCCAGCCTCGGCTCAGCCTGACGAGATCATTTTTGCGCTCTGGAATGGAAATTACACGGAGTGCGAGTACCCAGACAATCGTATCTCGTGCGGCCTCGATCTAGCTACAAGAGCCATGTCGAAGACCATGCGAGACTTCCCATACGACGTAAACGGGACGCAGGGAGCTGCTGGAGATGCTTACTCGCCGATCGTGCACATACATGTGACTTGGATATGGATCACGTTGCCGGCATGTACGTGGGTCCTCGCTCTTGTTACTTTCCTTGCGACGGCTTGGAAATCGAGTCAAAGAACCGAGCATGTGTGGAGGAATAGTACGCTGCCGATATCGTTCATGATACTGGACGATGAAGTTGTAGAGCAGGCCGAGAGGAATACTGATGTAAAAGCGCTACAACATAGGGCGACAGCAATCAAGGGAAGGGTGCAGATCGAGGATGGACAGGTCAAATTTGCGAGTTGAGAGGTACAGATGCCGCTTGTACACAGGGTTGAGAAACCGTCTTTTGATCTCATAGACTTCACTTCCGTCTTCTACATTCATCGTTCAGACTTTACTGGCGCCTTCATCACTCGCGATATGGAGGTACTGCAGTGCCCGACACCTGGCCCACTGCGTTGTGAAACAGCATGATCTCATAGACACGGCCGTTACTTCCGCGATGCCGCGCTCAATCTCACTTTCACCGCTCACCGTCCAAGAAAGAACGTCCTAGAACAAGCTAGCGTCGTATCGCCAAGCTCTCGACGATAACAGGAAGCCGCGACTCAAATTTTCTTCCTCATCTACATGTCCCTGCTCACTCGATATTTTCGGATATCCAGTAGTAATACGTGTAGTTAGCACTTGCACACACTCCCTTCCTTCCGCCTTTCTAGCCTCTTTAGCCTGCCTCTCACCCAGGGTCGTATAGCACGATACCGATTTTCCCTTTTTAAATCTTCATACCATCTACCTCTCCCACAATGGCACCAGAGCGCACTGCTGGTAGCGACGAGCCGCTCGAGAAGCCCACCGCTGGCCAATCAACATCCGGCCACCGCTTCGGCAGCAGAGGCGAGTTCGAGAGCCAGCTCCTCAAGCAAGAGCAAGAGCTCCGTCAAGAACAGGTTCGCTTGGATGGCCTAGAACAAGAGCTCAGCGACATCATGAGCAAGCAGAGTCAAGTCGCCGTGAATGAGGAGCTTGAACGAGCCGATGAGGTGGCGGCTTTGGCTTCGCAGCTAGAGCAGCGCATCAGTCTAGCAGCCCCAGCTCAGCCGCAAGTCGAGGTCCCCAAGATCCAGCACGCCGTCCAGGACAAACTACGAGAGCTCTTCGTCGGTGATGGCAACATCAGCCAAAAGCTCATCGATAGGGCCGTGGAAGACAAGAATGCGCTGTTGGAGAAGTTCAACGGAATGGAAGGAGATCTGGAGTAAGCAGCACCGCGGTGGACATCGTCATTTGATCATTACTGATGCCATACAGAACCATGAAATCGGAACTCCGGGAAGAGAGCAAGACCAGGGCCAAACTAGATGCCAAGGTGAAGAGGTTGAGCCAGGCAGTCAAGGACAAACAGAAAGAGCTCGACGACTCTGTCCGTATCGAGACAGAAATCGGCACGGAGAACGCAGAATTGGGCACGAGTCAGCAAGACTGGATGGCAAGGGCAGGAAAGGCCGACGGAGATCTATCGCAACGCACCGCAGACCTCAAACAGCTCACCGAAGAGCGCGAACAGCTCACCAAAGACCTCGAACAGCGCACCGAAGACCTCAAGAAACGCACCGACGACCTCCACAAGCGTACGGAAGAGCTCAACGCCTGTCGAGAAGCGCTTGACGACTGCAGGATCGAGCTGCAGTCTCATAGCAATCAGATCGAGGAGATGAAGACGCGCACAGAGGATACCGAAGAACGCATACGCAAACTCAACATCAGGCTCGACGAGGTGAGACAAGCCACATCTGATGCCAGGGCCAATGCCGAAGTGATCGACCGGCAACGCATTGTTGCTGAGAAGCAAGTCTCCTCTAAGGAAGACATCATACTCAAGATGCAGCAAGAGTTGGAGCAGGTACACAAGCAAAACGAGCTCTTGGAGATACAGACTGCCACAAAGGAGAAGGAGCTTCAAGGCTATAGGCAGCGCGATTAGGTTGGTATCGTGTCGCTTTATGCAGATGACTGTAAGGAGATTGATATAGTATATGAATGCAAACAATACAATCACGGTGAATGGCTTGCGCTGGTACCTTGGCGAGTTTCACAATGCAGTCGAAGGCAGCAATGGCCTTGGTGCCGCTGCATTTCACTTCACGTCAACCACCTAATCAGTCGTAAACTACTGCGAATTTCGTCCAACAGCCCACCCTTCTACTCCTCCACCGAGTATCAGCGAGATTCAACCACACTGTATTTCCATTTCAGGCATCATGGGCGCCTCCACCAGCTCCACCAGCGTCACGCTCGCCGATCTGCTCAGCACTCGATTTGCCCCCATTCAAGATGCTATAATGGCGTCGCTGGGCCCGTTGGAGAAAATCGCTCTGATGTTGACAAGTAAGCCCATCAACAAGAACATCAACGAGAAGCTCCTGGGTGGAACATTCAACATCGACGTTACACTACAGCCGTTCTTCCGGAACACAAAAGCCTTCCGCTCATTACAAGCTCGTTGCAACGCTCTTATTGGCGGCCCCTTCGCCTATTGCCTCTTCGCCGGGCTTCCTCGTTTCGACTGTATCTATCTATATGTCGGTCAAGAGGTCGATGCTATGACCAAATACCTGGAGGCTGAAAACTACGTGCGAGATGAAACCAACGCAGAAGCCCCCAATCGATGCCGCGACGGAGAGGTATTGTCAGAAGACGTATATGAGAAGGATGGACCCGAGGGATGCAAGCTGAAAGTCGTGACTACCGGATGCCAGACGCAGTCTCTAACACACATGGTTCTGCGAGACGCGTATGCGACAGGAATGCTAACATTCATCGCCTGGAACAAAGCATACCATCTATTACCTTATACCACGTTCGTCAAGAGGGAGATGTTCCTGCTACGTAATATCAAGGAAATAGATCCATATGATCTGAGACTATCCAGCCTACGTGGCATGAAAATTAAGAGCGTACATTGGAACGCGCACGACGAGATTCGCCCGACAGATTGCCAACTGCTTACCCGGCTTCGACGCGTAGGAGATCAACACACCTGGGTAATGCCTCTAAACACAGAGGGTATTACGCCATCTCCTATTCCAGACGCCGTTCTTGAGGCCTCCGCGTTTCGTCTTGACCTGCCAGATTGGGACGACCATAAAACTCTCTTCTACGAGATGAACGTCTGCACTGAGCTTCGCCATCCAGTACTGCGACACACGTACGCGACTACGAGGTTTGACGCCGGGATTATAACACCGTACTACGAGAAGTTATCAAAGCTTTACGACCGACTAAGCGAGGCGACTGCGATTGAGTTGACGAAGATGGATGAAGATGAGCGGCCTAAAGAATACGATCGCTTGGTGAACGGCTCGGCCATAGCGTGCGATATGGAAGAATTCGTTCGAGCAGACGATTGGTGCTATTTCGATGAAGATGTTAGAGCGTTCCTGATGGCTGCGTGGAAAGAGCAAGTAAGGCTGGAGGAAAAAGAAGAAGAAGAAGAAGCGCTAGAGCTAGACCATAGATCGGCGAAGCGAGCAAGGTACACTTGAGATGCGGCTTGCAGAGCACGGGGATGCACGATAGTTAAGTCGGAATGTGGGGTTGAGTAGACATTCATGGTTGTACCTAGGTAGCAACATATCACTTTACATGAAATCCGATGTAGTAGTTCGGCATTTGATGGTGCAATCACGGTCGTGATGATGTCATGGTTCGCGTGTCTTGAAGATCGCCAAAAAGCTCGGGTCTAGCCTCAACACGAAGATCTCAGCCTTTCGATAGTGTATGGCTTGGGCAACCTCAACAATAAGCTTTGGCAAGCGAGCGCGATTGCTAAATGCTGCGAACGTGTGGAGCGAACATGTGTGCGGCGTGCATACAACACCTGGGGAAGTTGCCGACCAGCAGTCACCGGAGCAAACGCCGCGGCAATATACACGACACTCCCCTCGAGTCAAGCAACCGAGCCAAGCATACAGCCAAGATCTGCATTTCACCGACCATATTTCCGTCGACTATGGACGAGCATCGCATCGGCAACTTGGCGGTTGAGTGACGTTGCAAAAAATCATGGGACCGTGAGGTGTCCGGCGCGACGATCAGTGGAGAGGTATATAGGAGATGGAAGGCCAGGCGATGGTGATTTGCAGGTATCCAGCTTCGCTATCATCACGAACATCATGTCGAGCATCATCCCCGTGGACCTTCTATCGTACGCGACGGATCCGTCGTACCTGAACAGCATTGTCACCACCAATGCTTCAAATCCGGACATCATCAACCTCCTCGCATACGATGAAAGCTTTGCATCTGTAATCGGCGAGAACGCAACAGGACGACTACTGGAAAGCCTGGATTGGGATGCTTTCCACGAAGCCGGCGTTTACAACAAAGACACAAACAAGCTATACGTGACGAGCAGCTGGGCCGGAGACCTCAACAACCCCATCAACGTTACAGTCATCGATCTCGCAGACAACTACTCGATCAACTCAACGCGGATTCCAGGTGTCGCCGAGGCCAACGGCGCAACATCGTACTACCCACCTGGCACTCAAACCAACGGCTCAACACCTTCACGAGTGCTATACTGCGACCAAGGTGACTTCGTCAACCCAGCAGGTCTCGTCTCCGTCGACCCCGTGACTGGCGAGTCCGAACTTATCCTATCGAACTTCCTTGGACGAAACTTCACATCCCCCAACGACGTGCGCCAACACCCCGTAACAGGCGATCTCTGGTTCACCGACCCAGACTACGCATTCGTCCAAGGATTCCGCCCTGAGCCATCTCTCCCTAAGCAGGTTTACCGCTTCAGCCCATCTACTGGTCAAATCGCCGTCGTAGCAGACGACTTCGTCGAACCCAATGGCCTCGAATTCAGCCCTGACTACAAGACACTCTACGTATCCGACACCGGTGCCGCGGGTTACAGTCTGAACGTCACACGACCAGCCACACTCTACGCATTCGACATCACACACGACGCAAAGAGACTGACCGGCCGCCGCACATTTGCCTACTCCGACAACGGCATTCCCGACGGTCTGCACACCGACACCGAGGGCAATGTTTGGGCTGGATGTGGAGACGGTATTCATATCTGGAACCCTGAAGGCACGCTGATTGGCAAGATTTGGGTTGGTATTACCACTGCGAACTTTGCTTTCTTGCCGGGGGCTGTTATGGTGTTTAGCAATAAGCAGCTGTGGATCGTGGAGAATATCAAGGCGATGGGCAGGGAGGTTGCTAAGGACTTTGGATTGTCGACCCATTATTAAGAAGGAGGATGTTTCCTGGAATGATCAATGCATTGTTAACGGCAACTACGCGCTTGACCGTGATGCCGATTGCAGGTGTTGAGACAAAAGAAAGCAAAGCAAGCCACTTCGGATTTGCGCAAATAGCAAGCACCACCCGGCGCTGCATATAATCGTTCTTCTTACGCTTCATACTCTGTTTACGAAGCTATACTCCAGTCTTTCTACTTCTAGTATATATTCAATTCAACAAGTTCGAACGAAAGGCTCCTCTTTCACTCTACGATATATACTCAAGACAACCATCTAAACGAAGCAGGTGGCGATGACAATCGCGAAGTTGATAGGCGTTTCACAAGCATGGGAAACATGTGTGAAAGGCCCCGCTCCGACTGCGGTGAGCTGCCATCGTGCTCGCAACCTCTCTCTCTTGCAGTATTTGAAGGCTCGCAACCTACGTTCCTTACGGTGCCAACTTCCACCACAACTAGCACCAGATCAATTGGCACCACTGGATCTAACAAACATAAAAAACAACCCTTCCGTGCGACACAACACAAGATGGTCAGGCCGGTACCACACGACTTCAGCGGCCCTACTCTTTTTAGCAACGGCGCCGAAGCCCAAGCCTTCCAGCGCAACCGCGGCATCAAGTGGCATCCACCCAGCAATGACACGACAATCCCTCAATCCGACGCTCAGCGCAGGGCCTACGTTATCCGAATGAGGCGAGCCATGGTAGACGTCAGTCGAACAACAGAGACCTCCAAGCATTTCATCGAGCGCTGGAAGCAGCCATTTCAAAACGGCCAACGACCTCTGCCTCACTCCCTCGTTAGCATGGAGGCTATATGTTGGGATCTTCTCGATCTCGCAGAACGCCTGCATACGCAAGGTCCAATCTGCCTATCGATATACGACCCCTCTGCGTTGAAAGCGGCGGGAAAGTACAGGCACTTCACGTTTTCGCAGCGCATCGATGCGTTGATTGAAGACTTGCTCTATTCGAAGAAGACTGTTGATGGTTTGATGAGGACCGAGGGGCACGCCATGTTCGTCGCATGTTGCAGGCACAAACCAGCGAATAGGAGACAAGACAAGATGATTGGCATGAGGGAGGCACGTCCGCCGACACTCGATGAAGGGGTTAGCAATCTTCAGATTTAACTCGAAGAGCTCCTCCCCAACCCTTCGTCCCTGCCGGTTTCTAGAGAAAGACGTTTAGGAATTGTGGAGGGCGGGGTTCCATGTTGTTGTACTCGCGTAGTCGTGCTTGCCTAGATGGGCGATTCTTTCGTCAGTAGGCACGATAGACCTCAAAGAGGAAGGACGCTATTTTATGAAGTAGCTACATAGCTGCTTCTAATAGGATCACTATTTGCATGTACTTAATAATCACCGTGAGCATTACAAACACCACGTTTATCGTAAACCGCCTCGTAGTGTCAAACCTGCCGAGGCTTCAGACTCTGGAAGCAGAAAGCAGGGACTCGCTTATCGTGCACTAGCGCCATTATCCCTGCCCGGCCAAAGATCGGTCTGGCCAGGCACGACCGACACAAAATCTCTCGCCTTTTGTCAATCAACAGTCACGATAACGTATCCACCCGCATACCTAATTACCCACAATGGCTTTCCTCCGATCTTTCAATTCTGGCATGAGTATACGTGACATACGCAACTGACCCACAGCCCGCGCGACCGTTAGCCATCCACCCTCGATTAGACA